ATAAATAGAAACAGTGAAATGACAGCATGAAAATCAATCAATATAACATTATTAAGAAAGAATGTAAGAAACATGAGAAATTTATCTCCCATTTTACTGAATGGGAAATTAAAATGCAGAGAAATTGACTCATCCAGAAAACTGACCTTATAAACATTACAAACTCTCCAATCATTTATGGATTCCTCCCTTCCCATATAAACTTCATTCATTCCTGATGACAAGTTTAGGACTAACATCTGTTTACTTATCCACTTATATATTCACTCATTCATCAATTTACTGAACACAAACAATGCTCCTGTTAGTGAATTAAGGCAAAATCAACCATCCCAAAGGAGTACTTACTAACAAAGAATTTATAGTCTAATAGGAGATACAGAAAATGAATATTGTAATCTGGTATGGTTACACATTATAACAGAAGTGTACATAAAATTATCTGGAAATATGTCATGAAGTACTAATAGAACTTTCCCAGAGGAGCAAAGCAACTAAAGACACTGGAAGACAGCATAGAAATATATGGGGATGATTAAGGAAGTGTATTTCCCAGAATGAAGTTGTTTCTATTTTTTTTTTAATTTTATTTATGTTATACAAGTTTTCATGTATTTCATTTAAACAGATTTAGGAACATAATGATACTTCCCACCATACCCTGCCTCCCACCCATGACCCAATCCTTCTTCCTCCTCCCTCTCCCATTTCCGCTCTTAATTTTTACAAAGATTTACTTTCAATTTACTTAATGATCATAAAGTTAACCAGTTAACCCTACACTAAGTAAAAGAGTTCAACAAATAGTATGAAGATAAAAACCACTTTTCCAAAAAAAAAAAAAAAAGAAAGAAAGAAAAAGAAAGAGAGAGAGAGAGAGAGAGAGAGAGAGAGAAGGGTTATAAACAATAATTAAATCTCAAAATGCCCATTTCACTCTAATACATCACATTTTAGGTACTGAAGTAGTTTTTTATCTCCAGTGGAGGCTACTATGAGATGAAGATCAAGAGATAAGTCAGAAATAGATAATGAAGACTGTTGTATGTCATGCTAAAGAAATGGAAATATTGTAGAGGGGAAAATTTGAGACAGCAGAGCTACATTTTGAGATATGGGTTTCACTGAGTTCAATTTAGTGATAGAGTAGAAAAGCAAATGAGGCAGAAAGCAAGAAAGGACAGAAAAACTAAAGAAAGTGTAGGAAGAGAATTGGGTTTGGAAATGAATCATACACATGAATTTCATGAGTTTCACCTCGAAGAAGGTAAACCCAATAAACAGTAGTGGTTCAAAGGTCAAGGCAAAAAAACACTATGGCACCATGTGGTTGATGTTAGTCACAATATTACTTACACTTCATACTGAGAAAATTCATATATATATATACATATATATGAGATATCAGTTATGATGCTTTCTTTATATAAGTAACAGGATAATGTCGTTTACTCTGAAGGGAACAATTAATTTTTTTTTTTTTTATTTTTGACAGGCAGATGGACAGTGAGAGAGAGAGACAGAGAGAAAGATTTTCCTTTTCCATTGGTTCACTCCCCAATGGCCGCTGCGGCCGGCGCACCACGCTGATCCAAAGCCAGGAGCCAGGTGCTTCTCCTGGTCTCCCATGCAAGTGCAGGGCCGAAGGACTTGGGCCATCCTCCACTGCACTCCCAGGCCACAGCAGAGGGCTGGACAGGAAGAGGGGCAACTGGGACTAGAACCTGGTTGCCGGCGCCGCAGGTGGAAGATTAGTCTATTGAGCCGCGGCACCGGCCCGGAACAATTAATTATATCGTGTCATTTAACAGAACAATCATATAGAATACAGTTCACAAATAACTCTTGTGAATCAAGAAGACCAAATTATAGAATTCTGATATATATATATATATATATATATCTCAATTACAAGTACTTAGTGGGAACTGGACATGATCCACTTGTACACTCAACTCATATTCATGGACTGATTGATATTGTAAGAGTTAATTGTTGTAAGGAATATACTAACGAATCAGACAACGTTTAATATATGGACAGCACCAAAGATTTCAATATCTCTATTTTCTGAAGATGTTTAGATATTTCAGTGACTAATTTATAAATTAATTCTTTAAAACACACTTTGACTTCTTTTTCAGAAACATTGGTCCAAAATCAAGTGGAAGTCATAGATTTCCTATGTAGCATATGAAACAGTCTCATTAAAAATAACGTAAAATGATACAATAAATTTAATTTAAGACTTATGGAGGGCCTCTGGGGGAAGGCTTTGACTGCTGTAGGAGGAGACATGTATCAGGGACTGTGATTAGAGATGGATACACTAAGGAAGAGGGTGGAAAAAAGGCTTTAGGGAGATGTCTCAATGAATGACAGTGAATTATCTGAGATTTAAGCAAGTTAAATTCATGAAGGTCTGATAGACAATGCTGCATTCTAGAAATTTATTTAATTTATTGAACATTCTCTGGCATCCTGAGTTCGACCTTTATCAAGTGGGCAAGGATGAGATGACATCAAAATCACTAAATCGTTCTTAGACTCACTTAAGTAACCATCACTGTATTTAGTGGTATTTAATGTTGACAGTGTCTAGTAATGTTTTATAAATGTTTTCAGTTACGACTATTATTTTTAGAATGGGAAGTCAATTTGTCACTAAAAACAAGATTTAGTCTTAAGAACTAAATATGATTTTAAATTATAAGCAATTTTAAAAATTCTTTACAAAACATTTTATACTTCCTTCATTTTGGCCCGTATATGTTTCTAAGCATAAATGTCTCAGGAATAATTAGGTAATTTAAAAAATTATATAAACTTAAAAATATCCTTGGTTTGATTTTGATATCATATCATATACAACTCCTGAGAAAATTACCTTTGAAAACCAAGCAATTTGAATAAAGTAATTTAATATTTAATAAAAATATTGTATAAAAACATAAATAAGTAGAAATGCTTTCACTTGCTTTCATTCTTTCCCCAATCAAAAGTAGCAACATTTATTATATGGAGCTAACTACACTGCTTTATTTATATTAGTATCATCTATTAAAATTTATGGATATTTTATTACACATTAAATATTTATAATAGTAAATTTATATATTTAAAATAGTATCACCTACAATAATAACTATGGTTGTGCTTCTAATTTATTCAACAAGAAGTGGAAGTATTTATGATCTACCAAACAGCACGATATATTTATGCACACACACACACACACACACACACTTGTATATATGTAATCACAAATTATACCACTGAAACATAGAGAGATTAGGGAATGTAGATAAATCTTAGAATTTTTATTTGAATCTAGTCTTACCTGACTCTAAAACCAGCATCTTTACTATCCTACTCCTAATAAGGATCCAAATATCCCTCTTAACAAGAGAAATAGAAATCTTCAAACAGGCTTCTTGTACAGCTCCTTATATTCCTCTTATGAATTAAAAAAAGAACCTGACCACAGCACAAATCTGATGAGCCAGTTTGCAATCCTAAGAAAACAGAAAGAATCTGTAACTCTTGTCCCAGTGTGTGACACAGCCCTAGAGGCAGTAGTTAAGCACGGAGTAATATTTGTCCACCCTTCCATCTGCATAAAGAGTTATGCTTTTAAGCACAGCCAATCCTTTTATCTTCCACTGTGAAGATAAAAGCACGCACTGAGGGGTGCCGAGTTAGTTCCCTTCCCTTGGGAAACCTTATTTTCTAGTAAACCAAAAGAAGAAAACAAGGTGAAAGAGACAAGACAAAAGATGGAATATAGAAAGAGCAAGTAAGAACTTCCTGAGGAAGACACCAAGATTTTTCAGAGGCTTCTGGAAGCAGAGACAAAGGAGAAAGGTGTAGATATGAAAAACTACATGAGATCAAGTCTGTAGACTTAGTAATAAAACACTGACTTGAGAGACAACATTAATTACTTTACTTCTGTATTATTTGGCTTCTTACAATGAAGGGGAATGTTGGTATTATACATTAAAATACCTAAATAAACACGATGCAATGTATGCGAAAGGGGATGAATTACAATCCCAATAATTGTATGAATCTTGTGTGAGGTGCTGTGCAAAAGACCTCTATGTTGTGCTTCAAATCTTCAAATCAATCTTCAATCTTCAAAGCAACCTAAAAGTCAGCCTTGTATTTTACTGCTCATCTAATAATAAGAGAAATTAAGCCTTGCAAGGGGATAAATAATTTGCCCAAGGACATACAGATAGAAAATGGCAAAACTAGACTTGGAACCCAGGCAGTATGATTCCACGGAACGAATGCTTACTCTCTGCACTCCATAATCACAGTGAATAATGTTATTTCATTTTTTTGCTATCCCACTGAGATTCTAGATATAACTCTAGATGATTTTAAGCACTGTCATGTAATACGCTACTGGGGTTCTTACTAAGGAAAATAATTTTAACTCTCAGGAATACAATGCTAAATCAATAACAAGTTAGCTACCCATAATATGCTAGGGGCTTCTGTGCCCAGTAATACACAAGAAGAATATAATTTCATTGAAAATAGAACAAATTAAATTCTACAGTCAATTCCAAGGTGAAAACACTAGAGTTAGGTGTTATAAACATGAGCTGCTTCCTGGTGACCATGCCTCCAGGAAGGGAACACAATTTTTCCAATAATGCATGTTTCTTAAATGTCAAATAAACAGCTCATAAAGAACATAGGGCTTGGGCAAGTATTGAGCAGACATCCATAAACCACACTAGCTGGGGTTACTCTTTCTAATGGTAGCATACATTTCTATTTAGTAGGCAGAAAGCACACAATTTACCGATCTCGACACATATTTAGTGACAGATCCCATGAGCAATTCATGCAACTGACAGCTATCACAGTTAAATATTTACATAGGTTTTCTGTTGTTATTTCAATCAGAACACTGTCATGGGAGGCATATGAAAAATTATAAAATCTTTAGAATCATTTATTTCAAAAACAAGTAAAATACTTACATTATTAACAGAAGAGCATACTGGTTTCGGTCCATAAAATCTTTGGGAAAGGATAACTGTAAAGGAAGTTCTTTTAAAGAAAGAGCAAAATATTAAAGATGGGGAATCATTTACATGTACAATTATAACATGCAGAAAAAGTTTTTCTTGACTAACATAGCATGCACAAAGCTTTACCATAGTCGTCAATATGGAGGATTTTAATTTCTGACTTTACTATCTTCTTCCTCAGGATAGCTTCCTTCAGCACAGAATTACTTTCCAATATCAAATATTCTGTAAACCAAAACAAGAATGTAAATAGCTAACCCCCACGCATTAGTCAAGAATCAGTACAACACAGCAATTATATGATGGTTACAATTTGGCAAGCGCTGTGCTAGTTACTGATTAAACTGTCATTATTTATTTCCTAAATTATTGCCACATATTTCTAACTGGAATTTCTTCTTTGAGTCAAATTTTTTTTCATTTGCTCTCATACATGAAAATGAGCATTTATATTTTTAAACTCAAATGTGAGCATGTTACTATCCTGGTTCAGAATGTTTAGAGGAATAAAAAAGTATCTAGCACCAAATGAGACAAAATTCACAATATCTGGATTTCAATACAAAAATTCCAGATAAGAATAAAAATTAATCAATAGAAATAAGACAGAAATGACACAAAGATGATGTGATTCACAAATAAGGACATTCAAATAATGATTGAAACTATTGTTCAGGTGTCTAACAGGGCAGAAACAGCATGAACATGTTATACATTTTTAAATATACTATATACATTTGTGTGTATATATGTAAAATATATTTTACTATAAATATATTATATCTATGCATCTGTTTACATACTAAACTGTGAGACCTCCAATGCATAAACATATACATGTATATGTCTATTTCCATTTATGACTAATTTTTCTTATCCATGTCATGGAGCTTTCATTTTTGGAGAACATGTACATTTTTATTAGACATATCCTAGGTATTATATGACTTCTGATGCTATTTTATTATCTATAATTAAACCCTTTTTTACTTATTTAAAAGGCAATGAGAGAGACTCAAAGAGAGATCTAGTTGCTGCTTCATTTATCAAAAGCCTGCAATTACTTGAGCCATCACTTCCTGCCTCCCAGGGTGCCTATTAGTAAGAAGTTGGAATCACAAGCAGAGCTGGGACACAATCCCAGGCACTCCAACATGGGATGCTGCCAGCCCAAGCACCATCTTAACCTCATTGAGTCAAATGTGTGATCTTGATGCTATTTAACATGACATTTTGAAGTACTTTGTAATCTTGCATTATAGTTTATACAGTAATTTTTATAGTGATTTGTATTTGTAATCATGACAAAATCACTTATTCCTAATTGTTTATCTTATATGGTTTATTCCATAGACTCTTATTCTTTCTTCATTGTTTTTGGTTAGTAACATAATGCCTTCTGCTAAAAAAAAAGCAATTTCACAGCTAATATTAATGTTTCTTATTTGTTTTACTGATT